CCCCAAAACCCCAAAACCCCAAAACCCCAGAATAACATGATATTATTGAAAGTTTTAGAAAATAGCTCACTTCTGTTTTGACTTGTCGTTTTCATTTATCCTGACTAATATTACCTTCTCAACTCCTTTATCCACTATCACCAAAGACTGAATGCTTTGAGACTTACATTGCAGAGTCGAAGCTGGCAAAGTCTTTAACATTCTTCTCAATTCAGTAGGAGTATATTTGCAAGCAGTAAGATAAACCTTTCACAGCGAATAGAACAGACCTGATTGAAGAATGGACCTGATCAGATCTACATCTCACTTTCTCCCTGGAGACTAAATTCAAGGTTGATGTAAACTTTCAGTTTCAAATTTAAAACCCAAAAATCAGTAAAATCTTACCTTTGAATCAATACAATCCTCCAATATCAGATATCTCATGCCAAACCTTGCTGTTGGACTCACAGTGACTTCCTTGGTTTCCAAATCACAATGCGAAAAAGTGAGCTCTTCACTCATGGTCACAGAAGACACTATTCTGCCCAAGATTCTTCTTGAGATGACGAAAGAGTCAAAGTAGGTTGACTTAAGTGTCTTCTCCAAAACAGGGGCTAAGCCTTCGTAGAATCTATGGATCTCCAACTTCGGAGTCAGGTGCTTGCTATATCTGAGAGCTCCTTCATTATAAACTTTTCCGATTTTAAAGATTTTCAAATTGCAATTTCTAAACTTCTTCATGATTGCCCGAGTCAGACTCATGCTCTTAATAAACCCTCTGTAGTTGATGGCAAATTGTTTTGGGTCTTCAGGCACGATATTCATCTGCCTGAACTTTCGGTAATAGCTTGAGAGCTCAAAGTTCTATAAGTGAGGTTAAAGGGATACTTCGTCTGAGATGAAATGGTGTCTCAAGTTCTTGAGTTCATCAAAAAGACTACTCATTTCATTGTTTAAATGGAAGTTTTTCTGTGCCCAATAATCGAGACGCAGCTCTTCCATCCAGATGTAAGTTTCTCGTAGCTTCATTTCATCCATTTTTATATAAGGTTAGTTTTAATTTTGCAAAAATTCAAGCAGATTCATGCTTCTAGGGGTTTTGGGGTTTTGGGGTTTTGGGG